TTAGATAGGAATGCCCAGAAACCAAAATGGGATTGCAATCAATTCAAGGAGAGTCTAATGGAGATCTGTGGATAGTTCAGGCAGGAGTGAGGAAAACCATGAGCCTGGGGTAAGGCCTGATGTCCACAGCTGCCCCTCAGCCTGCAAGGGCAAGGGACAGGCCAAGGAGCCACCACCTGCTGTGACTCTACCATGAGAAAATGAGGAGCCCATGGATCTATTAGCCCATTGATTATGTCAGATCCCTCATGATGTAATTACCTCCCGGTGACTGGATCCACCAACTGGGGACCAAGCCTTCAACACCTGAGCCGTTGGAGAGACACCTCCTAGCCAAATTGCTGTGCCCAGCCGCTTCATATTTAGTGTATGGAGTGAGAGAACAGTAGACTCTTACAGTGGCTTTCATTTTCAGTTCTCTGGTGACTAATGATGTCTGTTATCTGTTCATGTGCTAATGATCATCTGTTTTTGTGAAGGGTCTATCCAGCCTTCAGCGGCGTGCGCGCGTGCACGCACACACTCACAGACCAGTGGTCAATCTAGGGTGTCATTCTTCAGTCATTGTCCACCTTGTTTATGGAGATGGGGGTCTCTCACTGGCCTGCCACCCATCCACTAGGCAAAGCTGACTGGTTTGTGAGCCCCTGGATCCCTGCTGTCTCTGTTCCTGAGTTCTGGGATTGCAAGTGTTAGCTACCACACCCGACTTCTCCTGTGTTCTGGAGCTCAGACAAAAAGCACTTTACATCTGAGCCACCTCGTCTTTTCCTTTTTTTAATTATTATTTTTACATTTTTTATTTATTTGAGGAGAGATGTGCCACAGAGCACATGTGGAAGTGGAAAAGACAACCCATAGGAGTCAGTGGTCTCCTTGTGACACGAGGGTCCTGGGGACTGACCTCAGGTCATCGGGCTGGGCTGCAGATGCCTTTACCTGCTGAGCCATCTCTCCAGCCCTGCCTAGAAGTTTTTGAAGCCCATTTTCTACATTAAAAATAAATAATAAACAATAATAAATAGCTTGACAGTCACTTTCTTAGCTTCCCTTGCTACCACACTGAAGTCACGTGGGCCAAATTTGACCAATCAGGTGTAGTCATCTAAATTTTTAAATTGGAAGCTGGTGATTCAAAGTGGTGGAACCAAGTGAGGCATTTGGCTACTGGTGGGCAGGCACAGTAGCTGCTGTTGCACCAGCAGTCACGTCCCTTAGCCATTGACGTGGGTCAAGTATTGAAGTGAAGGCTTTGGACTTGGCGGTCCAGCAGCAGTGAGGGTGAAGGAGTGCTCTCACCCAGTAACCTGTTGTCCTGTGAACGTCAGTGAGATCTGTGGACCTGGTCCCGGGCCTCATGGTCAGAGGCTTGGCATTGAAACAACACGGAGTTGGTCAGTTAGCAACGTGGATCCACACCGAGACGTGAATTTATCAAATTGCTAATGTGCTGGGGACGTCCACGGTTCTGACTTTCTTGGTGATAAAGTGCACCTCATAGAAATGAGAACCCATGGACGGGTGAGAGGGTTAGGCAGGTAACAATGCCTGCCACCAAACCTGATGACTTAAATTCCATCCCTGGAGCCCACATAGTGGAAGGAGAAGAACTCAATCCCACGGTTGGCCTCTGACCACCAGCCGAGCACTGCAGCACCCACATAACCTTCCCCCTGCCACATATATTAATATAAAATATATTTTTTAAGGGACAGCCCATAGACTAGCCATCTTCTCATCACCACCTCTATTGCAAGCCTGGCTGCCTTTCAATGTCTTCCCCAAAGGGCTGGACGATAAGGACACTGTCGAAAAATGAAATCTTCTGTAGTAACTGCCTTTTGTAAAAGTCCACCTCATTTTTCGGCTTGGATCTCCACCCTAATTTGCATTTGTATTGGGAAAATCAATACTCTATGATAAGTATTTGTTTTTCAAAATCTGATAGCATGCAAATTTGCTTTCCCATTTCCCAACTTCTTTCTCTGTCCCTAACCTTTGCACCCTCAACAAAGTAGAAATAAATAAACAAAGGCTGAGACACAGCTGTGGATTTCTTGAAGGCATGTCCTTCAGGATCTGCTGAAAGTTTTTGACATTGTAGATGCTGTACTTGCTGTAGCTAGAGTTTTCCTGCCTGGCCCACAGTCAGGACAAACCTCTGTCACCCACCAGTCCCACAGCCACTCAGACCCAACCAAGTAAACACACAGAGACTTATATTGCTTACAAACTGTATGGCCGTGGCAGGCTTCTTGCTAACTGTTCTTATAGCTTAAATTAATCCATTTCTATAAATCTATACCTTGCCACGTGGCTCATGGCTTACTGGCATCTTCACATGCTGCTTGTCATGGCGGAGGCTGGCAGTGTCTCCTTCCTCCGCCTTCCACTTCCCAGAATTCTCCTCCCTCTCCTTGTCCCACCTATACTTCTTGCCTGGCCACTGGCCAATCAGTGTTTTATTTATACAGAACGATATCCACAGCAACTTTCCACTTTGCCTTGAATACTTTTTAGGGCGACTGGGAGTTTAGACAATTTGAAGGACTGTCCTTGGAAAGGGAGGGCCAAGCCAAGCATGGTGGTGCATGCCTATAATTCCAGTACTAAGGGGGAAGAGACAGGAGGATCTTGAGTTCAAAGCCAGTTTGAGTTACATAGCAAGACCCTAACCAACCAAGGCTGGGGAGAGGGACCAGAATTCAGTCCCCACCAAACAAGTTTGGGAGTGCTTGTTCTGAATCGGATGTTCTTGATTACATGTGGGCAGAAGGTTCACAGGCAGGAAATATGTCAGGATATATGCTTGCCCCTGATTAGATGTAGCTGAAGTATGTCAGGATGTATGCTTGCTTCTGATTGGATGTAGACTGGAGATATATCAGGACACATGCTTGCCTCGATTGGACCTGATGGAAACTGCAATGAATTATGGGTTTTCCTTCTTAAGTCACTGCAAACTGTGACTCTGGGACATTTCCTAGGAACCTGGGTTCGGACCCGGCCAGAGCCCATCCACCTGGCCAGTATTTAATTAAAGCTTGCTTCAAATTTTGGCTTTAAATTATGGTAGTGGTCTTATTCTCAATTGGTGGGATTAATACCTAATCACCTTGGAAAATTCTAGGTTAATGAGAGACCCTGTCCAAAAAAAAAAGACAATGGCTAGAGGAACAGGTTGTCCTCTGTCCTCCATATACACACCTGTGGCACTGGTGTATGTGTATGTGCACATGTGTGGGTGCACACACACACACACACACACACACACACACACACACACACACACAATCTAAACCTAGGCTTGGTGGATCCAAGGAAACATATTCCCATATTTGAGCACCCACCTGAGTGACCCATGGCTACTCCAACTCACTCTCAGTCCTGCCTCTTGGATAACAACAGAGATGAAAGATGGCTTCCACGGAGGCCATCCAGCACAATCTTTTATTTGGAATATGTGAGTGTGGCCATAGATACAGTTACAGGGGGCTATGACAGCTATTTGTGTGTGTGTGTGTGTGTGTGTGTTGTGTATATGCTTGTGTGTATGTGTGTTTACATGAATATGAGTGCTTGTATGGGTGTGGATAGGTGTGCATATGTGTTGCACATGCATGTGGAAGGCAGAGGTTGATGTCTAGTGTCTTCTTCAGTCACTCTTCACCTTATATATTGAAGCAGGGTCTCTGAAGCGTGACAACTCGGAAAGTCTAGAGCCAGCTTGCCCTGTAGCCTGTCTACACCTTTCATGTACTCAGATTATGGGCAGGTTGCCATGCCCACCCCACCTGTACATGGGTGCCAAGGATCTGAACTCAGTTCCTCATACCTGCACAGCAAGAGCTTTCCCTACCGATCTATTTCCCCAACCCAGTCATAGTTAATCTTGTGTTGCTGTCAACTTGAATGGATTGAGAGTCACCTAGGAGATTTGTAAAGCATATTTCTGGGTGTATCTATAGGTTGCTTTCAAAGCCATTTAAATTGGAGGAGCTCTGATCTAATCAATGGTTTCACTCATTGGTCATTCAAAATTTGGAGAGACTATTGGGGGATGGTGAAACTGTTTGAGGTAGGCCCTGGTTGGAGGAAGTTGGTCACTGAGGGTCTTCCTGTTACTTCACCCAGCTTCCTGTCAGCCATAAAGTGAGGTGCTCTCTTGGCTTCTCATCAATCAAGAGCTGAAAGAACTCCTCTGTGACACCCTTCACTGTGATATCCCACCTCACCACAGGCCCAGAGCCAAAACGTAAGTCAAAATAAACATTTCCCAAGTTGTTTATGCCAAATGTTCTGTCATGGTGATGAGAAAAACTCGTCCTGAAATAGACTCTAGGATCCAAAGAGGGCTACAGTACTCTTCTCTTTCCCATAGGGTCTTCTGTAGTGCTGGTGAATTGTAGGGCATCTAAATTACATCTTGATAAAACTTCTTTCTTTCTGTATATGCATGTAGGTGAGTGTATGTCTATGTCTGCTGTATGGACACACAGAGGCCAGAAGAGGATGTCAGGTGTTCTTCTCTGTCCCTCTCTACCTTATTCCCTTGAGACAGGGTCTCTCACTGAACCTGGAGCTAGGCTGGTGACCAATGAGCCCCAGTGATCTTCCTGTCCCTGCCCCCACCCCCCAGCACTGGGATTACAGGAGCACATGACCACACTTAACTTTTATTTGTTTTTTTTATATATATTTTAGGAATATCTTGCGGGGGGGGGGGGGGGGGGGAGTGGGGGGTGCTGGAGAGGTGACTCAGCAACTTAGAGCACTTGTTCTCACAGAGAACCTGGATTTTATTCCCAGCACCCCATGGCGGCTCACAGCCATCTATAACTCTGGTTCCAGGGCTCTGATGCCCACTTCTGGCCTCCATCAGCCATTAGGCATGCACATGGTACACAGACATACATGTAGACACAGACACACTCATATATATAAAATAATCTTTTAAAAAGAATATCTTTTATTTATTCTTTGGCAATGTCATGCATATATACAATGTATCTTGATCATATCCACTATTACCAACACTCCACCCCACCCCACCCTGTCTTTGTTTAGGTTTCTATTGCTGTGAAGAGACACCATGACCATGGCAACTCTTATAAAGAAAACATTTCATTGGGGTGGCTCGCTTACAGTTTCAGGGGTTCAGTCCATTATCAGCATGACAGGGAACATAGAGGCATGCAGGCAGATGTAGTATTGGAATACCTGAAATTCCTACATCTCACAGGCAACAGGAAGTTGACTGACTCACTGGGCAGTATTCCAAGCACAAGAAACCTCAAAGCCCTCCCCCACAGTGACACCCTTCCTCCAACAAGGCCACACCTCCTAATAGTGCCACTCCCTGTGAGGTCACGGGGACCAACTACATTCAAACTACCACACCCTCTCAGCCACCGGACCCATGCCCTCCCTCCTTCAGGTCTTCTCTCCCTACAGCCAATGTGCCTGCCTGCTACCCCGTTGGCTGATCTTGTTGGCTTGATGTCGTGCAGGTGAGAACATCTGCGGTGAGTTCACCGCGACAGTGGCCAGGGCGTGTCCAGAAGACAGCATGCCGCAGCACTCCTCCCCATTCTCCAGGGCTTACATTCCTTCCACCCCAGAGCCTTGGGGTGTCGATACAAATGTCCCACTTAAGATGGTCACTCAGTGGTTACTATTCGCAGCACTGTGACCAGTTAGTTAAGAGTCTCTCCGTTAACTGCTGAGCACCGCAGAAAGAGACTTCCCCGGCCAGCGTTGTGAGCAGCACCAATCTATGGGCGTAAACCTAAGTGTTCAGAAGCAGTTAGAGAGCGTGACCATTAGACAAACAGCAGTGGAAGGTCCCCTCCTGGGAGCTGTAGCTTCTCCAGCCATGGGCTCTTGACCAGGTTTACAGTATGAGGACAATGGTATTTTTAAAACATGGGCCTGGGGATTTGAACTCTGGTCCTTGTCCTGCGTCTGGGTAGCCTGTGCCACCACTGCCCGGCTCTATTTTTTTTTTTTTTTAAGATGTCACCAGACCAGGCAGTAAATGCCTTTAATCCCAGGACTCTGAAGACACAGGCAGGCAGATCTCTGTGAGTTTAAGGCCAGCCTGGACTATACAGTGAATTCCAGGCCAGCCACGTCTACGTAGTGAGGCCCTGTCTCAAAATCAAAGAAAAGAAAAGAAGTGGTCAGACCTGGTGATACATACATTTAATCTCAGCATTCAGGAGGCTGAGACAGAGAGACTGAGAGATCGGGACAGCCTGGGCTACATCATATAACCTGGCCTCAAACAAGCACAACACCAGTAAGGCTGGTGACAGGTTGGCCTCTTCCGGATCTTTCTTCTGTTTGTGGAAGGGAAGAGAAGATTGGATAGATACAGAGGCCAGTGATGGGGTTTTCATTTTTAATTAACTTCAGTTAGGGATTTTTTTAATGCAGTAAAATGAATAAAACATGAACTTTGCCACGTTAACTGTTTTAAGGGCAAAATTCAGTGGCATTTAAAAACATTCATGACATTGTACAACCATCACTATCTGTTTCCAAAAATGTGTCTCCTCACAAAGAATCGTTGGCAGGGGGCTGGGGACACGGCACGGGGCTGGGGACACAGGGCTGGGAACACAGCACAGTCCACACAGGGCTGGGGACATGGGGCTGGGGACACGGTATGGTCCACACGGGGCTGGGGACACGGCACGGTCTGCACAGGGCTCGCCTAGCATGTACGAAGCCTTGGGTTCGTCCCCAGCACCACAAACAGCTGGTGTGGTGGGAAAACATCTGTAAACATGGTGGGAAACATCTGTAAACTCTGGGACTAGGAGGCAGAGGCAGGAAGATCAGGAGTTTAAGGTCATCCTTGGCTACATAGGCAGTTTGAGACCAGCCTGGGCTACATGAGACCTCACTTCCTACCTCTTCAGCAAGCATTTGGTAGCCAGGAATCTGCTTTTTTGTTTTTTCCAAGATTCTGCTTGTAGATATTTTACATAAGCAAAACCATACCATAGCCAGGCAGTGGTGGCACACACCTTTAATCCCAGCACTCAGGAGGTAGAGGCAGGTGGATCTCTGTGAGTTCGAGGCCAGCCTGGTCTACAGAGCTAGTTCCAGGATAGCCAGGGCTACACAGAGAAACCCTGTCTCAAAAAACAAAAAACAAAAAACAAACCCACAAAACCATACCCTACATGGCCTTTATGTCTGCCTTCTTTCCCCTGGAGTGTTTTCAAGGCTGATACACATGGCCGCATAAACCAGCCCTTTGCTTCTTTTTATGGGTGACTAATATCCCATTGTATGTACAGAAGTGAACTGATTTCTCTCCTCCCCCTTGAGTCTTCCAATCTGCCGAAATAAACCAGCAACTGTTTGATCGCAGGCAAAAAGGCAAATGGACTTATTTACATGCACTGGGGCATGGCAGGATGGTGACTATCCCAGCATCCAGGAAGTTCCAGACACACATTCTTCCTATAAGACACCAGGAAATAGGGGCTGTGGGCAATTTAGAAGGGTAGAAATGGCTTTTGGGGAAAGGAATGAACTTCAAGTATAAACAATGAAACTAGGCATGGGGGAGGGGAGCACACTGTAATCCCAGCACAGTGGAGGAGACAACAGGAGGACTGTGAGGTCAAGGCCAGGCGGGGCTACACAAGTTCCAGTCCAGCTGAGCTACATAGCAAGATCCTGTCTCAAAAGACAAAACAAACATGTAGGGATGTAGCTGAGTGGGTGTATTAGTCTGGGTTCTCTAGAGGAACAGTACCGATAGAATGACACACACACACACACACACACACACACACACACACACACAGAATTTATTAGTATGACTTACATGCTATGGTCCAGCTAGTTCAACAATGGCTGTCTATCAAACAGACGGTCCAAGAATCCAGTAGTTGTTCAGTCCACCAGGCTGATGTCTCAGCTGGTCTTCAGTATATGCCAGAATCTCGAAGAAGTTGACTCTAGTGTCAGTGAAAGAATGGACTTGTGGTGTCAATGACAGCAAGCAGGCAAAGAGCACATGCTTCCTTTCTATGTGTCCTTTCTATAGACTGCCACCAGAAGGGATGGCCCATATTAAGCATGGATCTTCCCATTTCAAATGATTTAATTAAGAAAAATCCCTTGATGGGCAATGGTGGTACATGCCTTTAATCCCAGCACTCAGGAGGCAGAGGCAGGCAGATCTCTAAGTTCAAAGCCAGCCTGGTTTATAGAGTGAGTTCTAGAACAGTCAGGGCTACACAGAGAAATCCTATCTTGAAAAACCAAAAAAAAAAGAGAAAGAAAGGAAGGAAGGAAGGAAGGAAGGAAGGAAGGAAGGAAGGAAGGAAGGAAGAAAGGAAAGAAAGAAAGAAAGAAAGAAAGAAAGAAAGAAAGAAAGAAAGAAAAGAAAAATCTATTGTACCCAGCCGATTGGGTTTTTGCTGTGGGATGGTCTGTATGTCAAGTGTGTTGCTGATTGGTCAATAAATAAATCACTGATCGGCCAGTGGCCAGGCAGGAAGTATAAGCGGGACAAGGAGGAGAATAAAGCTGGGAAGTGGAAGGCTGAGTCAGAGACACTGCCAGCCGCCATGATGACAAACAGCATGTGAAGATGCCGGTAAGCCATGAGCCACGTGGCAAGGTATAGATTTATAGAAATGGATAAATTTAAGCTATAAGAACAGTTAGCAAGAAGCCTGCCACGGCCATACAGTTTGTAAGCAATATAAGTCTCTGTGTTTACTTGGTCGGGTCTGAGTGGCTGTGGGACTGGCGGGTGAGAGAGATTTGTCCTGACTGTGGGCCAGGCAGGAAAACTCTAGCTACAGGTTTTAGTTAATCCCAGATATAGTCAAGTTGACAGCCAAGAATAAACCACAATGGTAAAATACCTGCTTAGACTCTGCCCGTAGGGAATTAGGGGCATAATTCGACAACAGAGTGCCTACCTAGAATCTCCCAGTGAGGAGCTTTGGAGCGTGGCACTTGCCTAGCTTGCACAAGGCCCTGGATTTGATTCCCAGCACAGCAAAAAATGTAATAAATAAAACCCACATAAACATAGATACACATGTGCCCACGTTGTCATAAGACAAAGGTCTCTAGGTGCTAGAGTGGCCTTTCGTTTCTGCTTTCTTTGTCTGTGACATAAGATCACTCCTCCTTGTTAAGGAATGTTCAGTCAGAAGACTGACTGCACTGTGCTCTTCTTTGGCAAATGTAGATAGAGTTGAGTAAATTAGGAACTTCAAAGAAAATCCTTACTTGGCACCTGCTGATCTCAAGTGCCTTCGGTCAGCACACCGGAACACTACACCTCGGGGTATCTTTTGTTGTTGTTGTTTTATTTCCTGAGCCCAGACTTGTGAATGCACTTCTTTGTGTTTAACCATTCATTCACTGGTTGACATTTGGGCTGATTCAGCCATTTCTGCCCCTGGCCTTTTCAAATCTAAAGAATGTGTCTGTCCTTTCTCGGGGAGAGCATCCATCTTCCCATTCAGGACTCAAAATCTGTCGGAGACGGCTCAGATGGTCTAAAGGAGAGGTGAGATGCAGGAGAGTGTTGGAGGGTGGGGATGGAGGATGGAGGGAGGAGCCTACACCTATGGGTCCTTCCAGGCCAGCACAAGGGCCTCATCAGTCTCACTCTCCCACCTGGTTAAGACCTTCAGTGTCCTCGTGTGCTGCTTCCAGGGAGGGTGCTGTCAGGTGTCCTGAGAAGCCCAGACGGAGAGCTGAGTCCAGCATGTGGTCCGTGCTGGGCACTACCTGTGCGGCAGACAGTGATGCAAGGCCATCATGCCTCTGACGGGCACCACCTTCGTCTCTCTATCTGGCTTTTGTTTCAAGACAAAAATCTCACTATGTGACCCTGGATGGCTTGGAACTCACTGTGTAAACCAGGCTGGCCTCCAACTCACAGAGATCTGTCTGCCTCTACCTCTGGAGTACTAGGGTTAAAGGCATGCACCACCATCCCCGGCTTGTTTCAGATTTAAAAAAAAAACAAAAACAAAAAACATTAGTTAGGTGTGGTGGGGCACACCTTTAATCCCAGCAATCCAGAGGCAGAGGCAGGCGAATCTCTGTGAGCTGACCTGGTCTCCAGAGCAAATACCAGACCAGCCAGGGCTACACAGGGCTCTTGTCAGAAGGAGGAGGAAGAGGAGGAAAAGAAGGACAAAGAAGGAAGAGGGGGGAGAGGAAAAGAAAGAGAGAGAAAAAGATTACATTTTGTTGTTCTTTGTTTTTTGAGACAGGGTTTCTCTGTGTAGCACTGGCTGGCCTTGAACTCAGAGATCCACCTGCCTCTGCTGCCAGAGTGCTGGGATTAAAGGTGGGTGCCACCACCGCCCAGTGAAAGATTGCATTTATTTACTACTGTTCATGTACATTCACATATGCAAGCCTGTGTACCATGGTGCACAGACAGGGGTCAGAGGTCAGCTCTTTCCTTCCACCATATGGGTCCCAGGGTTAGAAGTCAAGTTATCAGGCTGGCCAGCAAGCACCCCTACCCACTGAGCCGTCTGGCTGGCCTTTTACCTGGGTCTTCCTTGACAGCTGGGGTATGCAGAGGTGAGGCAGGATAGGAGTGAAAGGAAGAAAGCAACCCTCAGCTGGGTATGGAGCTCCGTTAGTAAGGTGTTTGTGAACCATGCACGAAGCCCTGGGTTCGATCCCCCAGGGCTGTGTAAAAGTGGGTGTGATGGCACATACCTATGATTCCTGCCCTAAAGATGTGGGGTGGGATGATCAGAAGTTCAAGATCATCCTCGATGCTGTTCTCATTAGTTTTTATCAACTTGACACAAGCTAGAGACACCTGGGAAGAGGGACTCTTGGTTGAGGAATTGCCCCTGTCAGATTGGCCCATCAGTGATTGATGCAGGAGGGCCCCAGCCCACCGTGGGCAGTGCCACCCCTAGGCAGCAGGTCCTGGGCTGTGTAAGAAAGGTAGCTGAACAAGCCATGAAAAGCAAGTGGGTATGCAGCATTCCTCCACCAGTTTCTGCCTCAGCTTCCCTCAGGCTGTGGTGCGCAAGCTGTAAGATGAAATAAACCCTTTCCTCTTGGATTTGGTCCATGTTTCATCACAGCAACAGAAAAACTAGGGTAGCTACATAGTGAATTCAGGACCAGCCTGAGGTACATGAGGCCTTGTCTCAAAACAACAACAAAAAACAACAAAACAAAACAAAACCCCAAACCCTTGGCCAACAGTGTGGGAATGCCCAGCTTGCTCACAAACATAAGCTTACTCATTTCTGGGTGAGGCAACTCCAAAATGAGTGATCTAAGGACTTCCCTAGTTGCCCAGTGGGAGGGAAGCCCCGTTGACCATACTTGAGGCTCGTCACCAAACTGTTTTATTGGAAGCCCTTCCTTCCTGTCTCATTTTCCTGCTCTGTCATTGGCATTCTCTGAGCCTCTACAACATGCCCTTATAGAAGAGCTGATTGTAGCCAGAAACTGAATGAAGACATTGTGTTACTTACTCCTTGCTGTAACCGAATACCTTAAGGACAACTCAGATTGCGCGTGTTTCGGGCCTCTTGGAGGACAGCTCAAGGAATTGACGTTTTTTATCATGCAATTTAAGCAAAGAAGGCTTGTTCTGGCTCATGGTCTGTGGGGATACTGTCCACTGTGGCAGCTGGAGCAGAACCTGAGGTTGCTTGCTAACAAATGAGCGAATCAGGAAGCAGGGAGCAGACAGGACATGGAGCCAAGCTTTTAAAAGCTCAAAGGCTAGGGCTGGAGAGATAGCTCACCCATTAAAAGTTAGATGATGTGGGGTGGTAGCTTTGAACACCATTAATCCCAACACTTGGGAGGCAGGGGCAGGTGGATCTCTGAGTTCTAGGCCAGCCTGGTCTAGAGAGGGAGTTCCAGGACAGCCAGAGCTACACAGAGAAACCCTGTGGAGGGTTGGGGGTGGCAGGGAGAAGAGTCAGATGTCTTTTGCAGAGGACTGGAACTCAGTTCCCAACATTCACATTGGATGGCTCACAACCACCTGTAACTCCAGCTCCAGGGGATTCACAGGCACCTTGCACTCACTGCACATACCCAGGCAGAGACACAGACACGGACATACACACATTTGAATAAAAAGAAAATAAATCTCTTTTTTAAAAGGTCACCATCAGTGACCCTATTTCTGCATGGAGGCTCCACCCACTAAAGGTTCCACAGCAGCGCCACCAGCTGGGGACACAGTGTTTAAACACATCAGCCAGTGGGGGGACATTCCACACAACATCCTCCTTGTTAATGACTGCTCTTAAGAGGGGTCAGTCCTCCACCTCCTCCTGGAAGCCCAACCTGGTTCCAGCCACAGAGTGGACCACCTGCTTGCCCTCTATAGCCCTGAGTCCTGTCTCCACCAGGCCTGCTTTCTTTTTATCTTACATTTTCATCAGTTGCGTGATAAAAATGTTAATTTCTCGAGCTGTCCCCCAGGAGGCCCGCAACACGCACACTCTGAATCTGCGATGAAGCCGTCAGCCTTTGATGGAGGCGGGAGATGAAAAGCGGCAGGCTGTGATTCCCGAGGAGAGGGGCCCTGGCATGCAATATTTAAGCAGCCCCTTCATGAAAGGGGAGCGCTGGAGCTCTTAACATCAGTTTCAAGAAAGTCAGACTTGATTCTCAGCCTCAGCCTGATGTTTGGGTACACTCCGTGCTTTAAATACTCATTTCTGCCGCCTTGATATTTTAATTTCTTTCCTTTTAAGTTTGACAAGCCCAAAGCGATTTTAGGAGCTTTGTCACAAGTGAGGATGTGAGGCAGGGACCCTACAATACAGGGGGGATTTGTACTGACCCTAACAAGTTATTTGTCAGAAGTACAAAGTTGAACTGGGGCTGGTGAGGGATGTCTGTAAAACCAGTGCTGAGGAGGCTGACGCAGAGAGATGTAAGTCTGAGGCTAGCCTGGTCTACCTGGTGGGATGTTATCTCAAAAAAAAAAAAATCCTTTTTAGATTTTGAACAACAATGCCTCCCCCATCTCTTCTTTCTGTCTCTGTCTCTCTCTCTCCCTTCCCTCTTTCCTTTTAAATTCAAGCACGCATGCATGTGCACGTGTGTGTGTGTGTGTGTGTGTGTGTGTGTGTGTGTGTGTGTGTGTATCCCTGGTGCCACAGCTCACAAGGGAGGTCAGAGTCAACCCCTCCTTCCACCCTGTGAGTTCAATGGATTGGATCCAGGTCTTTAGGCTTGCATGCATCACAAGCATTTTTACCTGTTGAGCAGTCTTGACAGGCCCCAACCTTCTCTCTCTCCCCTAATCCCCCACTTTTCCAGTCTCTGGTGTTATTTGTTTGTTTTGAAACAAGATCTCACATACCTCAAGCTGGCCTTGGCCTTGAATTCACTATGTAGCTAAGGATGGCCTTGACCTGCCAAGTGCTAGGATCACAGGCGTGTCCGTGCTCTGTGTGATGCTCAATATGCAACCAGGGCCTAGGCAAGCATTCCACCACTGAGCCATGTTCTCAGTCCCTCACTCCTCACTGGGGGATTCTAGAACACTGTCCCACGGAGTCCTATCCCCTCAGCCCTCCCTGGGAAGTGCTCTAAGCAGGTCCTCTGCACTTAGCCACGCCTCCAGCCCCCATTAGCATTCAAATCAATTGCTCATTGGCTGTAGAACTGACCCATGAATTCTACTCACGCAGCACAAACTGGTTGCACCTGGACAGGAAGCCACCCTCTCAGCGCTCATAATCAACAAAACTTGACTTCCTTTCCAAACAAAAGTCATACATATAATCTGCCACTTACCGACCACACACTTGGGAATCAACCACGATGTAGGAATTTTTAGCAATATGCTGCCGCTCGAGCCTCCCACATTTTCTGGAAGTGGCTTCTTCTCACGCTCGAAGCGTCAGCCGACCAATGTAAGCGGCTCTTTGTTTAGCTAACTGTTATCACAGTTACAGAAAGAATCATAAACCTTCGCGGATTGGAGGTTCTTCTTCAAATGTATTTTTGAAGCATCATGCCAGACAATATTTTTAAGTGGAAAAAGACTAATTTTCACGTAGTTCCGAGACGATCTGTCTTGATAGCTCAGAGCATTACTTAGCCATTTCTTAATAAATTGAAACAGAACTATCTCACTTATATTAAGCATTGGAAACTAAAGAGAAAGGCTAATTCCCTTTTAATAGAATATTCCAGATGCCACTTGAAAATTGCTGAAATAATTATGAATGTCGGAACTAACGTTTAAGGACGAGTGATTTTTCTGTGGTACAAAGTAAAATACTTGTGGCCTGGAGATGTGGCTCAGTTGGGAGAAGACTTGCCTAACACACACGTGAAGGCCTAGGTTCCCTCCCAAGCATGACCTAAAACCAGGTGTGGTTGTATACATCTGTAATCGCGGCACTTGGGAGGTGGAGGCAGTGTTCACGGTCGTTCCGGGCCACATGGTGAATATGAGGGCAGCATGGGCATGAGACCCTGCTGGAGAAAGCAAGCAAGAATGGAGGGAGGGAGGGAGGGAGGGAGGGAGGGAGAAAAAAACACTTGTATCTGGATGTGTTTTGGAGGCTCCAGCTGGCCCTTTGACACCGGAAAGAAACCTCTCCCATAATTCCATAGCAAGCTCACTTCGCCATCTCTTTCTCACACCATGAAATTGTTCCTAGCTGAGATCTGCATTTCCTGTGGAAGTGGGAAATCAGTCAGAGCGTGTACCAAGAAATCCTCTGTGCAGTTCTCTCTCCTTCAGAATGGAAAACGTACTTAAGGATTTAAATGAAATAATCTGATGGATGTTGTAATTACCGAGGCATGATCTTTGTCGCATAGCAAAGAGAATTCATTAAAGATAGGAACAGCTGTTTCTCGGCGTTTCAAAATTCAAAACTGCCTTCTGTGTTCTGGTGGGATTGGAATCACAGAAGAATCGGCCCACTACACCTCATTCCACATTATGGAGACATTTGGATACTTGTACAAGAACATATAGTCTGGGAAAAATGATCCAATTCTAATAAGTTTCTTATTGTTCTATCATATAGCAATGAAAAATTCCATTAAAAGGAAGGTTCTGAGAGGCTTTTTGAAGATGATGCCTCCCAATTTCTTTAGTACCGGAGAGTAAGCCCAGGAGATGCTAAACAACTGAACCCCTAAACCCTCAATGGGCCATTCTAGGCAGAGGAACTGTGCCACTGAGCTCCATCCCCAGCCTTTTATTTTACTTTGGATTTGGGTACAGGGTCTCCTAAATTGCCCAGATTGGCCTGGAGTGTGCTCTGTGTCCAGGCAGACTTCACCCTTGCCATCCTGCTCCCCAGCCTCCCGAGCACCCCGCCAGGCCCCACTCTACTGACAGCAGGCTCTATTGTCCTCTTACTCCACTGCCACCGAAAATTTGAACATTTAATGTACTCTCACATTTTTAATTGGTACCCAGAATTTTTCCTAAGTTTAAATAATTGCAAAAGATGATGGTAATAATACTGATCTATTGTAAATATTGCCATTTAGAAAAAATGAAGCTGTCATATCACTCTTCCAAATGCAGCCAATAAAATCCACACACGAGAGCAATTCCATATCCATCATCCTTTACTCAAGAGGTGCAGGCCTGGTCTTTCTTTAATAGTCCCCAAATTTTTAATTTTCTTTTCTCCCCTTGAACTCATATTTCCATCCCATTTCCCCTACAGAATGGCCTTCTAATGCAATATATTTTTATGCTTGGTAATATTTTATTAATCACCCCCTCATAATTCTCTCAACAAAAAAAGTATATAAGCTAAAATTACATTTTTTAATTACCTGTGACTATAAAGCTCTAGAATTAAATTTTTTTCTGGCTTGAGCTAACAGCACATTTATGGGTATTCAATTTATCAAAACCAACTCATTATAAATTTTTGTAAATAAGTATTAAACATAAAAATAAAAATTTTCTTACAGTGGCATCTCTGAGATGAATGGAGTGGTCTTTTCTTTCCTATGGTTCTTCTGTGACTCCAACGCTGAAAATCATTCATGCTGCAATGAGAGAAATTCAGTATCACACTTCCTCCTACTCTTATGCATGTGCACCTGTGTGTGAGTGCACAGATGTGTGTGTATGTGTACAGAGGCCAGAGGTTGGCATTGGGTGTCTTCCTCAGTCACTCCCCATTTTATTTTTTAAGCAGGGTCTCTCACAAATTCAGCTGGGCTGGCTGTCTAGTGAGCTCCGGGGACTCGTCTGTCTCTGCCTCCCTGGTGCTAAGATTTATAGGCATGCCATGGCTACATGACATGGTGCTGTGGGTCAAACTCTGGTCCTTATGTTTGCCTGGAAAGCTCTTTACTGACCAAGCCATTTCTGCAGATCCTTTTTATTTTTAGATAAAAAGATAAAATAATACTGGTTCGTAGTTGGGCATGGTGGCACACACCTATAATCCCATCACTCAGGAAGCTGAGGCAAGAGGACCAAGCGTTTGAGACCAGCCTTAGCTACATATACAGATCCTGTCACAACAAAACAAAAACAAACACAAACCAGTTCCGAAAACGAGTAGGCAGAAACAGCAGATGTGACAGCAGCAATCCAATTATCCTGATGTCTTCACATTCACATCCTGATCCGTGGACTTAGTTTTCTTGTTGCTGCCATAAAACACTCCGACAGAAAGGAACTTAAGGAAGGCTGGTTCACTCACTGTTCCAGGGTCCAGACCATCATGGCGGGGAAGTCAGGGCAGCAGGAACTTCAAGCAGCTGGCTACATCACCCCCACAGTCAGGAAGCAGAGACTCGATGGGTGCGTGCTAACGCTCCGCTCCCTTTCTCCTTTGTACACAGTCCACCATCCCAGCCTAGGGAATGGTGCCACCCACAGTGGCACATTGATGTGGTCTCCCCACATCAATTAACGCAAGTATGCCCAGAGGCCCCCTCACCTGGATCTTCCCTCACAGATGCGCCTGAAAGCTTGTCCTCTTGACTGGCTTATTCAGGACTGGGGACAGAAACCCAAGGCTTTGGACATGCCAGCCATGTACTCTACCAACTGAGCTAGACTCTCAACCCTACCATTTTGTTTTTTAATGAAACAAAGTCTATGCACACATTGATAAATGCTGACTTCGTTCAGGGGTAGACTTGGAGGGCAGACATGTCTTTACTTTTCCTGGCCAGAATTCACATGGAGCTTGGGGTGGGCTGGGGGGAGTCACGTTATCATTTTGATAGAGCCAAGAATGATTCAGATGGCAAATGGAGCCCTACTAGAGCAGGCATGCAGTCTTACAGCAAGAACAGAAGGGCGAGGTTAGCGAAAACTAGGATATACCCGGCTCCAAATTAGCAGCTCAGTTCCTGCTTCCTTACAAACGCCAGCTATTGGCTCGGTTTCCTTGGCTGTGCCTTCACAATCACAACCCGTGTCCCAGCGAAGGCTTCATTCTTTTCTAAATGAGCAACACAAAAAGCCAGCTTCCAAACACATGCAGCGGGAGACCCATTTCGCAGCATGAGCATTAGAATCTCATCGAGAGGCGGAGGACAGGCAGACGACACTGAACCCCATTCCTGCTGCTGAGTGATGGACTCAACTTCAACACATTCACTAACTAGGTGCAAGGGGTCAGGGCCGGGATGTGTCTGTCCTGGTTACATCTGCCGCCTCTGTGGTGTGCCTGGCCCTGGTCTCTCTGAGGAGCGACCAAGGGTGCAACGTTGCCAACTCGGAGAGTAGCACAGGATGGAAACAGGGCAAGTTGATCTGTGTCAAATTTTCAAAGCTCCCTACTGCACAGAATGTCTTCCCAGGTGTATCGTTTTCTGGTGTGTGTGTGTGTGTGTGTGTGTGTGTGTGTGTGTGTGTGTGTGTGTGTGTGTACATGTATGTACATAGGAATGCACTCACCTGCACATGTGTGGGGTGGCAACTATTGATGTCAGGTATCTTCCTCAACCATTCTTTTTTTTTGAGATGGAGTCTCTCACTGACCCTATACTTGTTCTATTGGCTAGGCTGCCTGGCAAGCTTCTGGGATCCTCTTGGGTTATAGGTACACACCTAGCTTTTACATGGGTGCTAGGATTTGAACTCAGGTTCTCACACTTGCATAGCAAGCATTTAGCTACTGTAGCAGCTGGAATGTGATTGGTCCCCATAATCTCATGGGGTGTGGCACTATTAGGAAGTGTGGCTTTGTTGGAATGAGTACAACCTTGTTGGAGGAAGTGTGTCACTATCGGGGGCGCGCTTTGAGGTTTCCTATGCTCAGGATACTGCCAAATGTCTCAGTTGACCTCTTGTTGCCTGTGAGATGTAGGACTCGCAGCTATTCCTCCAGCACCATGTCTGCCTGCTGCCATGCTCCCCCCCACGATGATAATGGACTGAACTTCTGAAACTGTAATTGAGCCCCCTCAATTAAATGTTTTCCTTATAAGAGGTGCTGTGGTCATGGTGTTTCTTCACAGCAATGGAAACCCAAGCTAAGACATCAACTGAGCCATTTCCCAACCCCGGTTGCCTTTTATCATCCCAACTCCATGTGACATCTCTCCTCCAAGCCAGAACTCCACTTTTCCCACACCCCGACCTGTCATTCAATCCTATCGGACACTCACTCCTAACATTAGTGCAAACCTCACTATTAAGTAATCAGTCCCGTAAGATAAAACCCGCTTCAAATATCAATGGAAAGTCCCAGTGATGACTCACACTTCCAACTAACAGGCTATACATTTGCAGGTTTCTGTGAGCCAATCTGCAGCTGCAGTAACTCACCAGAATGAACCATGGAACTCAAGAAACACACAGAGAGAGAGAGAGAGAGAGAGAGAGAGAGAGAGAGAGAGAGAGAGAGAGAGAGAGAGAGAGAACACGCAAGCCCTTGGAGGTAAATAGTCCAGTCCCCAAAATCATAATGCTGGGTGACATCCCAATAAGGCCTGACCACTTCTTCTACTCAGGGATTGGCAACTCCTGGGTGTCCAGTCAGCCTGCTGGTGAATCCACATCAGCTCTTCAGAAGGTGCCGATGAAGCAGCCCAACTATCTGGGCTCCCAAGGAGCCAGATCCTGGAGATACCATGACTCATTAGCTTTTATTTTTAATTTCATGCCACAGAAGATGTGAAGTAATGAGACTAGCTTAAATGTCTCTCTCTAAAAGGAGGATGGGTGGGGGTAGGGAGAAGAGAAAGTCAAGGCGGATGTGGATGGATAAGAGATCAAAGGCGGCTGGGCCTGTAGTTCAGTTGACAGAGTGCTCGTCCAGCATGCATGAAGGCCTGGTGTGATCCCCAGCACCACAAAGCCAGATGTGGTGGTGCACATCTGTAATTCCAGTTCTTGGGAAGTTGAGTTAGGAGGATGGGAAGTTCAAGGTCATTCTCAACTACATAACAAGTTTAAGGCCACCTATTAAGAGAGGGAGAAGAAGAGGAAGAGGAGGCAGGGGAAGAGTGGAGGAATGCCCCAAGACACAAGCAAGGCTTGCACAACTTAGGAGGGATGTTGTGAAGAATACACAACATGTGTGGGCTGGGGAGATGAATCAGTAGGTAGAAGCATTTACTGGGCAAGCATAAGAACCTGAGTTCAAATCCCCAGAATTCATATAAAAGCCAGACATGCTAGCATGCATGTGTAATCCCAGTAGCCCTACAGGAAGCAGGAGCCAGAGACAGGAAAATCCCTGGTAGCCTGGTGAGTTGGCCAGCCTGGCAGAGTCACCAGTAAAATAACAAAGAGACTGCCTCAAACAAGGTAAAAGGTGAGGACCGTGCCTGAGGTTGTCCCCTAACCTGAATAGTGCCCCCGTGACGAACGCTCCACACTTACATGTGCACACGCACGCATTTCAAAAGAAACATGTATATCGTTTTTATGATCGGGAAAATATCGGTTACATACATACCTAAAGTGTGGGTAGCCTTGAGGGTTCTTCCCTGAGTCACTTTCAGAGAGGCTGCAAGTTCATGATCAAAGTATAGCCAGGCTGGTCCCTCCTGAGGCCACCTTCTTTTCCCTGTGTCCTGACAGGATCATCCCTCAAGGCATGCCTGTGCCCTAATGTCTTTTTATAAGGGCCCCGGTTAGACTGGACTAAAAGTCACCTAATGTCCTAGTTTTAGTATAAATACCACTTTTTTGTTTTGTCTTTTGATACAGTCTCATGTAGCTCAAGCTGGCCTAGAACTCACTACGTAGCCAAGGTTGACCTTGAACTCCTCCTTATCTTCCTGTCTCTACCTCCCAAGTGTCAGGATTGCATGCTTGTGCCACCACATCTGGAAAATCAACTCCGTCACGTAGTCTTACACAACTGTTTGTCACTGCTGAAGAACTGAAGGATCCAGCACCAGGGGCCTTGGCACGTGAATCTTAGAGGAGCATAATTCAGCTCTCACAGTCCAGGGTCAGAAAGTCCCAATTTCCTACCCATCGACAGCATGAGATTCCATCTCACCCTAGTCAAAACAGATGTCATCAAGAAGACATCCACCGGGGCTCAGTCAATGAAGTGCTTGTTATGACTTCATGAGGACCTGAGTTTGAGCTCCTGAGACCTATGTGCCCTGCCAAGATAATGGGCAGGTGATAGCATGGGCCAGGATAGTAGTGACATGTCTGGGGTCTAATGGAGTGCCATATCCTGTGTTACTGTACAAGGAAGTCGGAGAGGTTTGCTTAGGGCCCTTGTGGGTTGGCTACCGCTCAGTTCTCCCTGCTCCCCACCCTACCCAGCAAGATCCTTCCCAACAGTCTCCTTCCTTCTGGCATGTGCCTCCCCATCGCCTGGCTTCCTCCCTCCACTCTCTTCTGCCATTTCGCTAAGGGAGATTGAGTCTCTCTTGAAAGGGCCTGACAAAACAGCTCACAAAAGTGTTTTTTATTTTAATAATAATCGGCAGCAGATGCTTCCCCAGCGAGACTCCGTGCCTGAGCTGTGATAAACACAGAAACTGGAAAGTCACTTTATTAAACCATAAATGTTCGTCACAAATCACAGCTAAATTAGCCCATGGCGGAAGCT